GTCTCCATGCTTTTCTCTTCCCATTGTACGAGCTTGTTTTCATCTGTCTCAAAAATTATTTTTTCTGAATCATGCAGGCTCCTTTGGGTGTTTTCTGGAAAAAACGCAAGCTTCTTTTTAACATTAAACACAAAAGGCATTAGTAAGGTTTACAAACCTATTCCACCCCACATTTAGATTTGGGGATCTGGTCAGCCTGTCTGTTTTACCTTATTTTACAGAAGTTTTTGGATTTTCCTGCTATTTCTGAAAATAACAACAACATGTGAATATGTATGTAAAATTAGCACCTTGGGGGCCAAACTGAAAAGATAACTTACAGAAAACACTCTACTTGCTGTAAATATTAAATCTCCTTTCAAATTAACACTTTCAGGATCACAGTCCTCATATTTCATATTTCACAGATTGTTGTTGTCTTGTTTTTTGTTTTTTTTTTAAAAAAAGTTTCTTGTCACAATTAAAAAGGTTTTATTTGCTTCATTTAATTCTGACAAGTTTTACCAGCCACTGGTAAAATGCTGCCCCCTAGAGGTGAAGGTGTTACTCACAATCCACAGAAAATCTGGAGGTCGTGTCTCCAGAAATTTTGAGTATAAGTTGTTACATTTTCTGCATTCTGATAATTTTTGTTTTTTGGACTGATTTGTAAGTTTTCTAAAGGATAACTGTCCCAGAGAGAACTGATGCAGGCATTGAGACAACATCCGTTTTACTGTGATGTAACAGCGCTGACCACTGCAGCACCGTGCTGCATCACAATGTTCATGTTGCTTTAAAACAACTATTCTCAACTTTAATCCTTTAAATTTTTCACTGTGCACATGCTGACACAATTCACTATTTCTTCTTTTATTTGCTCTTTACTTCTTTTATGCACTAATTTTAATTGATTTCTGTCCATATTCAAAGCTTTATTCATTTTCAAAACATGATACACGGACGCCATCTGTGATGATTTTAACGTGTTTGCTTCTTCGTCTCAGCTCCGTTACTGAGGCTGGCTGAAACTAAGTATCACAGGCTTGCTGTGTGGTAGCCTGGGAGTGAACACAAATGCAGGACTCTGGAGACTGAACATAAACTCAACAAAGCAGCTTTATTGCTGTACTCACAAACTCAAACAATACAAAATACAAAACTAAGAAAACTAGGAAACTGACTACAAAGAAACACAGGACGGCCGAGAGAGGACATAGCATTAGGGGAGGACTGATAATGATGTGATAAAAGAAAGGAGGGAAACTGAGGACTCAAATACACACATGAGGTAAGAGTGAAGACACCTTGGGAACAAAATTCAGCTAATGAACCAAGAAGCAAAACTGACTATCAAAAGAAGACAGGAAACAGATGTCAATTATTTTAATTCCCATTAATTTAGTTTCTTGTTCCTGGAAACTTTCTTCTTGTTACTGGACCTACTCAGTGTGGTTTCTTTTCAGCAGTTTGACCACAGAGCCTTGACTCACAGGTTCTCTTCTAATGATGTTGAGATGTATAACTCTGGGAAGCACTAAAGTGGGTTCTTAAAAGCTGATTTCTTACATTCCAGTTCAATTCTTGTCCAGAAAGGTTTTTTTTTTAAATTTATTTATTTTTTTTGCACCAGTGTCATCAATGTTTATTCATCTTTACCCAGCTGAGCAGTTTATTACAGTAGATAATATGACAGCATGTAAAGTTTTTTTGCTTTACTTTTCAGCAAAACAATCCAGCTTTAGAGAGACAGAATTGATAATAATGTGCTTTTTAAATTTTTGGGCTAAGGGGAGGAGCCACTAGCCCAAAGACTCATGGGACTGTTCACGTGACATTCACAAGTTAATGGTCTATTATTGTTATTGTTAATGTATAATTGCAGCTGTTTGTTCTGTATTGAGTGTGGCCAGCAATGGACACCATGACTGAGACTGCTGCACCCGTTAATGACCTCTGACCGCTGTTCTTGGATGTTCCTAATAAGACTGCATTTCTGTAGCTGAGCAGTGTATAGAACACAGGAACTGCAGGTCTAAAATAAAGCTCTACATCTTCTACTTTGCTGAAGTTTGCCACAATATGGTTTGGTTGTGTTTTTTCTCTGCATTTGCTTTTATTTTGCATGTTTTTATGACCGAGCAGCATCTCATATAGCTGTGCTTTTGTGTTCTTTGACAGGTATTTTGCATGTATTTGTGTTTAGTTTGCATCTCTTTCTGCTATTTTTCTCTCTTTGGTGTTGTTTTCATTTCAAGGTTTGTGTTGTGTTTCTTTACTACCAGTTTATGCTGTGGGTTTCTGACTGCTTGTGTTCTTGTTGCGGCTTGCTGATGTTGTTCTGCAGATGTTAATGGTTCGGTGTGTCTTTTTCCAATTCTTTTGTATTTGGAGTGTCTTTGCACATTGTTGTGTTTTTGCATCTTTGGTGTCTTTTCTGTTACTTTGTTTTTCTAAAAATCCAGTTAAAGGTAGCTTTTAACACCTTTTGTGTGTCTTTGGAGAGAGAGTTCAATCTCAATCCCAGCAAAGGGGTGTCAAGATCTGCAAGGCAGATCGTCAAGAAATGAGAAGTGTGGACCCAAGTGCAAGCACTGATAACTGAGTAACTGGATGAGTTTATTTCCAGGGCAAGGTGAAGCAGAAAACAAAAGTAGAGCATGGCAGGGAACTAAATTAAACAAAGCCTAAACTGGGAGCAGCTACAAAACAATAATACAGAGGAACAAAAAACCTGGAACATGGAGAAGTCCAACAGGGTTCACACAGGAGACAGACAAACCAGGACCTGATAGAGGCAAACACAAGGCTTAAATACACAGAGGGATAACAAGGGAATAAGACACAGAAGGAGAGCACAGCTGGGAACAATCAGACATGAGAGACCATGGGGAAGCAAAACTCAATACACTGACATAAGACACAGCCCTTCACAATAAAACAGGAAATACACAAAGACGCAGACCAGAGTGGGAGAGAAAACCACTGAGGAGCACGAGGGAGAGCACAGACATGACGAGCTGGGGAGACATGGAATAACACACAAGGAGGGGAAACCCAATAAACTAAACTGAACAACTTAGGACTGATAGAATAACTCCAAGAACAGCAAATGAACTTAACATGATACAGAAACACAAGGAAACAAAGAACGCTGGGTCAAAATGACCCAGGACCATGACAAGGAGGTTATTGAGCTTTCTTTTGTTAGATAATAAACATGACATGAAAACTGAGTCTAGTTTAAAGAGTAAAGAGTAAATGCAACGAGGAGTGTCCTGCTGGGTTCTCCATCCACGGATCATTTTACACTAATAGCCAAAGCTTTTTCCAGATTCAGTGTCTGTCCATGGAGACCAAATGGGGCCAGCACCACCAGGGTACATTAAGAGATTATATGATCTGTCTTCACTTAAAAACACTAAGCAAAGGGGTTTAAGTCTACAGGTGTATACATTCCTAACAAAACAAATCCTATAACACTGAATGATTATTGGTTGTTATGTTTGTTGACAATAATTCACAGGAGAAGACATTAAAAATAATCTGTCTGAAGTGCACTGTGCTCACCAGCCACTTTCCCACCGTTCAGCTGCTGACTAACAGCAAATATTTAATCAGCTATTAGGAGAAGAAGGTGATTTAAGTGACTTTGAACATGGCATTGTTGTTGGCGTCAGATAGGCGGGTTTGAGTATTTAAGAAACTGCTGATCTGCTGGGATTTTTCCACACAGTCATGTGATGTGGTAGATTGGTATCACCTGCATTTTAACTCACCCTCAAATTTGCTGTGGGAAATGGGAGCTAATTTAGGAGTGGTTTTTTGTGTGTGTTTCACAGTTGCTGTGGGCTGG